TTTATGGAACATCGAGGATGAAGAATGTACAACTTGTGTTTAATGGACATGAAAGCTTTTTTTTTTTTTTTTTTTTCATGGAAGAAGTAGAAAGTACAGGTATTTGAGTTCAACATGTGAGAAGTAGAAAGTACAGGTATTTGAGTTCAACATGTAAGAAGTAGAAAGTACAGGTATTTGAGTTCAACATGTAAGAAGTAGAAAGTACAGGTATTTGAGTTCAACATGTAAGAAGTAGAAAGTACAGGTATTTGTGTTCAACATGTAAGAAGTAGAAAGTACAGGTATTTGTGTTCAACATGTAAGAAGTAGAAAGTACAGGTATTTGTGTTCAACATGTAAGAAGTAGAAAGTACAGGTATTTGAGTTCAACATGTGAGAAGTAGAAAGTAAAAAGTCGTCAGAAAGTAGTGGAGTAAAGTACTGGCAGAAACATGTACTGAAGTACAGTAACGAAGTATTTGTACTCCAATACTTCCCTCCTCCATCTATCTCCATCTCTCTCCATCTCTCTCCTCTCTCTCTTCTCTTCTCTCTCTCTTCTCTTCTCTCTCTCTTCTCTTACTTCTCTCTGAGAGGAAACGCTCCTGAATTCTCTCTCGTTCTGACAGCCTTATGGTCCCTAAAAGTTTGTGTAATGACAGGTTTTATTTTCCACTGGATGATTGGAGGGGTATCTTTTTGGCAGGGAGGTTTATATATTTCAGGATCCTTCATGTTTTATATCCAGCAAGAATAAAACAAGAGGAATCTGAGAGTTACAGAATCTGCTGTGAGGAAATCAATCCATTAGTTTAACAGAGAGGTGAGAGGAGGATGTGTTTGTGGAACTAGACGTTAAAATCTCCCACATCTCTGCCTAGTTGTCACTTCAAATGTAACTTCCTATCTCCCCTTCTTCCTCTCCAGGCACTATGACTCCGGTGTCTCCGTAATTTCCGAGTTTTAAGACTCATCCCTGCACCTCTCTACACCACAGATAGCCCACATTTCTGCATATTCGTCACTTCAAATGATACTTTCTTTGATTATACTCTCCGTTCCTCCTCTCCAGGCACTATGACTCCGGTTTCTCCGTTATCTCTGGGTTTTAAAGACTCATTCCTGCACTTTCTATCTCCCCTTCCTCCTCTCCAGGCACTATAACTCTGGTTTCTCGGTGGGCGCTGCGGGCATGTACCTCCGGATGGACGGAGAGCAGAACCAGACGGTGATCTGGAAGACGTTCTACGACCAGGGTTCTCTGTGGAACCTCGTCTCCGTGCAGCTGGGTCGCATCACCAAGCCTTTCCAGATCGCCCTCGGTAAGATCAGCCTCGGGGTGTTTGACGGCGTCTCCGCTCTGGACGACGTGACCTTCAGGAACTGCTCCATGCCCCCTGCGGTGAAGGAGTGTCCGGCTCACACACACTTCCACTGCGCAGAGAGCAAGGCGTGTGTGGAGCAGATGCAGCGCTGCGACCTCACGGACGACTGTGGAGACGCTTCGGACGAGCAGGGCTGCTGTGAGTTTAAATATTCAGTATTTAGGCTCTTCACTTCAAGAGGGCCTGCTATTTTCTTTTCCCTTAAACGCCTAGATTCAACTTTATTGACAGTATTGAGACAACGAGATGAAGTAGCATCTGACCGGAAGTGCAACAGTGTAATATAAGAATAAACAGGGGGTGTTGTGAGTGTGACTTTTATTTTAGATACTCAGAATATAATGTTCTTCACCTTAAGAGGCCCCACATAGTTTACTTCCGGAAGTATTATATTTTAAAATCTATCTATACCTGGATCCTAAATATGTGAAATAACTGCAGTGCACAGAAAAAGGACTATATTTCCTTTAAAATGTAGTAAACATACAGATTACATTCAACTTCATTGACAGTATTGAGACAACAAATGAAGTAACATCCGACCGGAAGTGCAAAAGTATAATATAGGAATAAACATATAACAGATATATATAAGTATGAACAGTAAATACGGCTTTAAAGGGTTCTTTTTGAATGATCAGCTAATGCCATTAACATGAAAACAAACCATGGATGGATCCAAGCTAACAACTTTGTTTTTATACACATTAAGTACCTGAACTATCAAAACCTGCACTCAAAGCTTTGTGATTTATATTTGAACGATATTCGTCTATAATTGGAACCAAAAGAGTCTGAAATGTTGGAGAAAAGTACTGATACATTTTGGCTTTTCCAAATCCATCTAGAATCTGAATTCTGTTGTAATTATTGAGAGAAATGTCTTGAAAGCTGAAATGAAGCTGCCGTTTGCTCAGATGCTGAAGATAACCATCAGAATGGGTTCTTGATTTGAAGCAGAGTTGATGTCCTCACACGGGTGGTAATAGTTGATGAATCAGAAGTGGATAAAGAAGTTGAAGTTGGAGGTGACTTTGAAGCTGCGGCAGGCGAAGTGAAGACTAATTGGATCTCCTCTTAGTGGAACACTCAGTGTCTTCTTTAAACTTCATTAGAATAAGCCTTTGTTCATTTCCCTCACAGCTCCGGAGCTTCAGTGCAGTTTTGAGCACGGCCTCTGCAGCTGGAAGCAGGAGCAGAGCGGAGGGGACGTGTTTGATTGGACCCTCATCCAGGGCCCGACCCCCACCCTGAACACCGGACCCTGGAAGGACCACACGTTGGGAACCAGCGCCGGACACTACCTCTACATCGAGTCCTCGGGCCCTCAGGAGTTCAAAGATTCTGCTGTTCTGCTGAGCCGGGCTTTCAGACCCACCGTGCACCGGGGGGGAAGGAAACACTGCGTCTTCCGGTTCCACTACCACATGTTCGGGTCCCACGTGTTCTGCCTGGGTGTGTTCATGAGGACCGCCTCTTCGGGTCGAGGTCACATGCTGTGGGTCCGATACGGAGATCAGGGGAACCTCTGGCACCGGAAGACCCTGTACCTGACCAGCGCCAGGCCTTTCCAGGTAACTGCAGCGGGAAGAGGGTCAGGGGCATGTGGGGATTTTATTTATTTATAATTACAACTTTCCCCCTGCCTTTTTCCCCAGAATTCCAACATGTTCTGCCCTTAAAGCAAAGGTCCAAATTGCTCAAGATGAAGTTTATGTAGTACAGCTTAAAAACGCCTCTCTCTTGCTCTCCTCTTCTCTTTGTCAGATCGTGATAGAAGGAACCGTCGGGGATGATTTTAACGGAGACATCGCCATCGATGACCTCTCCTTCCTGGACTGTGAACCACACCACGGTAAATAAAAATGACTCCATCAATAATACTATTATGAGAAAAAAGTCAGATAAATGTTTTCCGCCGTTCTTTCCGCCAGGTGATCTCCCGGATGCTAACACCACGACCCCCTCAGTGACGACCCCCCCACCCACTGTTCGGCCCCACGTCTGCCCTGATGGACAGTTTGCTTGTGGGAGTTTGAGAGAGTGTGTTCCCGACAGCAACGTGTGTGACTTCAGTCTGGATTGTTCTGACGGATCGGACGAGTTATACTGTGGTAAAGATTTCATATTTACTGCACTGTGTGTAATGTTTCCCTCTCTACCGATTCACCAGCTGACCATCTGTGGCATTATTTCTCTTGACATTATATAGACGAAAGATTATGGAGATAAATCCATCTGACTTTTTTCAGATTTTTTTCTCACAATTTTAATATCTTTCTGACTTCTTTCTCATAATTCTGACTTTTTGTCTGACTTGTTTATTCCGCGTATTAACCACATAGTGTCTAATGTCTCCCACCCTTCTCCTTCCTCTTCTCCTTCCTCTTCTCCTTCCTCCCCCTCTTCCTCTTCCTCCAGTGAGGGAGCGTTGTGATTTCGAGGGCGGGGACACCTGCGGCTGGCAGAGCAACGACTCCTCTCTCGTCTCCACTCATGCTTTCCGCTGGTCACCGGTCCAAGGAGAGAGCATCCACGATGGAGAGCAGAGCCACAGACCCATCAACGACCACACCACGTACAAATACTTCCTTACTGCACTTAGCTACATTGTTCTGGTATCAGTACTTTACTCCACTACTTATTCAACACAAGCTGAAGAGATTTTAACGTCTAGTTCCACAAACACATCCTCCTCTCACCTCTCTGTTGAACTAATGGATTGATTTCCTCACAGCAGATTCTGTAACTCTCAGATTCCTCTTGTTTTATTCTTGCTGGATATAAAACATGAAGGATCCTGAAATATATAAACCTCCCTGCCAAAAAGATACCGCTCCAATCATCCAGTGGAAAATAAAACCTGTCATTACACAAACTTTTAGGGACCATAAGGCTGTCAGAACGAGAGAGAATTCAGGAGCGTTTCCTCTCAGAGAGAAGTAAGAGAAGAGAGAGAGAAGAGAAGAGAGAGAGAAGAGAAGAGAGAGAGGAGAGAGAGAAGAGAAGAGAGAGAGAAGAGAAGAGAGAGAGAAGAGAAGAGAGAGAGGAGAGAAGAGAGAGAGGAGAAAGATGGAGGAGAGGGAAAAATACAGAAGTGGAGTACAAATACTTTGTTACTGTACTTCAGTACATGTTTCTGGTATCAGTACTTTACTCCACTACTTATTTTTCTGACGACTTTTTACTTTCTACTTCTTACATGTTGAACACAAATACCTGTACTTTCTACTTCTTACATGTTGAACTCAAATACCTGTACTTTCTACTTCTTACATGTTGAACACAAATACCTGTACTTTCTACTTCTTACATGTTGAACTCAAATACCTGTACTTTCTACTTCTTACATGTTGAACTCAAATACCTGTACTTTCTACTTCTTACATGTTGAACACAAATACCTGTACTTTCTACTTCTTACATGTTGAACTCAAATACCTGTACTTTCTACTTCTTACATGTTGAACACAAATACCTGTACTTTCTACTTCTTACATGTTGAACTCAAATACCTGTACTTTCTACTTCTTACATGTTGAACACAAATACCTGTACTTTCTACTTCTCTCATTTTCCAAACAGGCTGGTTCCTTTAGTCTGAATGTGTGTTTGGTGGCGTGATCATTATTATTTAGAGTCATTGCGTGCCTATTGATTTGAACACGATCCGTGTATCCATCATTTCCTGGTCTTCTCTAAAGAAGAGGGACCAATGAAAACGTTGTCATGTTGCCGTTGTTCAGCATGGAAACATTCATTAGCTAACAATGACATTATTGTTCTATTAATATAAAGGGAGGTCAGGTACTCTTTAAAACAGCTGCTAGTTATGGGTACTTTTTACTGAAGTACATTTCAAAGCCTCTTTACTTTGACTTGAGGAAAGAAGTTTAGTCAGTACTTCTCTACTTTCACCAGAGTATTTTGAAACACGAGTATCTACTTCTACTTGTCCAATTCCTTGCAAATTGAGAAGCAATTTGATCCCTTTCTACTTCACTATAATCAAAATGAACACGTCCAATCTGCAGTTTAGCGGACCTAATTTTCCTTATCTACGTTTTATTGAGTCCAGTGAGAGCAGAAAATCCCACCCTGACTATTACGTTTCAGTACGATCATTTCTCCGCCTGAATTACAGTCGATATCTTCCTTCATAACCTCCTCCCCTTCCTCCTCCTCTTCCTCACTTCTGCTGCAACCCAGATCAATACAGCGTGAGTGAAATGGAGTCTTATTTAACCCGAGGGAGAGCTGCACGTCTTGTGAGAAATTAAAGAAGTGAAGCATAAAAAAGGCTAAGTGCAATTACAGCAGAACTCATATTACACGTTATTGTAATTTGCAGTTTAAAGCTGGCTGGATGTCGAGCTCAATAACTTTGATTAGACCGTTGTTAGCTCTGGTTTCCAAACTGATAATAAACATAGTCAAAGAATAACTTTATCTGTAGTATCTTAACTCATATAAACATTGTGGATGTGTGTTTTATGAAGCTCGCAGCTCACAGATCCAAACATCCCTGTCATCTCCTAAGTATGAGTTAATTGGTTAAACTAATCACCTAGATGGTAAGTGTTTAAGTGTTGATACCTAATAATAGTTAATTATTTGGAAAGTAAAGTGAGATAGCTTGTGACTTAATGCAACGTATGAGCAATTAGGCTTTCACTGGGAGTACCAACACACAGTAAGACATGTGGAAGCTCACTAAAGGAGGATAAGGTGGCACCTTTTCACGTTTGGACATAATTCTGATTTTATTCCGTGTTTCTCTGCCAGCGGGGGTCCAGAGGGATGGTACATGTGCGCCGACAGCTCAAACGGAGGATACGGTCAAACCAGCGACCTCCAAACACCTGTTATGACCTCCAACGGACCACAATGCACTCTGGTCTTCTGGTACCACATGAGCGGGTTCACCGTGGGATCACTTCAGGTACGAGGAGGGAAGACAGGAGAAAATGATCCGTGTTGAAGGGACTTCATCAGAATCTGTTGTTGTTGTTGTTGTGTCTTTATCTGCAGGTGCTGCTGAAGTACGGAAACTCCACTCATGAGGTCTGGTCTCAGTCTGGAAATCAGGGGAACAAATGGAGACGAGGAGAAATGTTTATAGGCATTGCAAACAACTTCCAGGTCTGTAAATATACTCTCAAATGGATTTTAAATCATCAATATCAATGTTTTTAATCAATAATTATAACTAGAACGTCCCCTCGCTGTGTGACCGCCACTTGTTGTCGGCCCTGATGCTCTTATTGCCAGCGTTATGGAGGCATTGGCTTTATTTTATTTTAAAAGGGTGTAAGAGAAAGTTTGAAAATTGCCTAGCAACAAGGTTTCCTCTGTCTCATTCAGAAGTTTAACACCAGAGTTTTTGTCATTCAAAGACACTTGTGTGCCAGATTTGTAAGTCAGTTTGATATCATGATAGCATCGAGACATCGCTGACTCATTTAGCTTCTAGAATAATTTAAAATGATGTGAACAAGTGTGGATATTATGGCATTTAGAGCAGGTTTAAGATCAGGGGATTTGAAAGACCCTCTGAAGTCATCACCGTCCCATACACACCCATTGTAACATCTGAAACACAGTGAAAATGTACCAAAACTTAAACTGTGATTAAATGAGAACTGTTCAGTCTATCATAAAACCCTTTTAGTCCAATAAAGCTGAGAGTCTGGAGAGCTGTTTAAACGTTTAATCTTTCACCTACGATAAAGTATGGCGAATCAGTATGACTTCAAAGTCGGGTGATTTTGAGCTTGGTTCAGAACGATTCCCCATTCATCCCTATGGGGGGGAAAGGCTGGGAGAATCTCTTGGAAAAGTACATTTGCCTTATTCACAACTTTAAAACATTGTGTATTCCAGTGTCATGAAACCAAAACACACTGTGACTCAGATTATTGACGCTGATCTAAGAAGACAGCTCAGTCACATCAGTGGAATTGGCCTCATTTCAGTGACACCGAGCTAAATTGGACTCGCAGACACACTGATTGATTGAGTCTAATTTAGTCTAATGTGTGTGTGTGTGTGTGTGTGTGTGTGTGTGTGTGTGTGTGTGTGAGGTTACCCCAGGTCGGTGACAGGAGTCTAATGTCACGCCGTCTCTTTGACCAAAATACCACGACCTTTACACATTTTAATTCCTGCACATTAACCTTTGTCAGATAGAGACATGCACCGATGGTCATTCCTGCACCTTTGCTAGAGTCCAAATGCCCTTTTCATCAAATGTCTGCAGAATAGCTCCGCTCACTTGAGCAGCTCTCATGTTGCAACGCAATATCAACCCCTGATTCTTAAGAGAATGTGATTTGAATAGGGCAGCAGGGTTTTAGTGTCCTTATAACACTGAGCTTGTACCCCCCTGTAATAAAACACTCTATGAAATTACAAAAAAATTTCAGCAAACACTGGGCTTTGATTTGAGGCAAAGTAGTTGTAATGGGTTAATTATTTATTTTTTTGTACACGATCAACGGAAAATGTCTCCTTTGTCGCCCCTCTCATAAAATAATGGGCGATGGCCCCCCAAGTAAAAGTGGTGTTAAACTGCCACTCTCTCATTGGTTAAATGGTCGTCTACCAATCAGAGGGTCAGTAGTTTGATCCCCAGATCCAAATACTGTAAAGAGGGAAAGATGCTTGTTGCTCCCGGTATGCTCTAATATATCATAATTCTACTTCTTACATGTTGAACTCAAATACCTGTACTTTCTACTTCTTACATGTTGAACTCAAATACCTGTACTTTCTACTTCTTACATGTTGAACTCAAATACCTGTACTTTCTACTTCTTACATGTTGAACACAAATACCTGTACTTTCTACTTCTTACATGTTGAACACAAATACCTGTACTTTCTACTTCTTACATGTTGAACTCAAATACCTGTACTTTCTACTTCTTACATGTTGAACTCAAATACCTGTACTTTCTACTTCTTACATGTTGAACTCAAATACCTGTACTTTCTACTTCTTACATGTTGAACACAAATACCTGTACTTTCTACTTCTCACATGTTGAACCCAAATACCTGTACTTTCTACTTCTCTCATTTTCCAAACAGGCTGGTTCCTTTAGTCTGAATGTGTGTTTGGTGGCGTGATCATTATTATTTAGAGTCATTGCGTGCCTATTGATTTGAACACGATCCGTGTATCCATCATTTCCTGGTCTTCTCTAAAGAAGAGGGACCAATGGAAACATTCATTAGCTAACAATGACATTATTGTTCTATTAATATAAAGGGAGGTTAGGTACTCTTTAAAACAGCTGCTAGTTATGGGTACTTTTTACTGAAGTACATTTCAAAGCTTCTTTACAATACCTGTACTTTCTACTTCTTA